TGGAGGCCAGGGCGTATCGAGCCCCCCGCCCCGGAACGGGGAGTTTCGCCCCACAAATCACCCAAATTGCAGCAGGGACCTTGGGGACAGAGAGGGGGGAGATGGAGGTGAGGGGGACAGCATGGGGCAGCAGGGTAAACTGGGGGAGGAAGGGACCTCCTCGCGCTTCCCAGGTCTCAGTCCTTCTTTCCTTTCTTTATTTATTTTTAATATATTATTTATTTTTATATTTGAGTTTCATTTTCTTGAGCAACAGATTTGAAAAAAAAATAATAATAATAAGTGCAAAGCGAGGCAAGGGAGGCCAGCCCGTAAGCGTGCACCCAGATCCTGGCCACAGGCCTCGGCTTCCCAACATAAACAGGACTGGGAAAGATCCCCTGGGAGCTGAAATGACAGAAGAGAAGCGTAAATCGAAAGCTCAAATGAGGGGGAAAGCAGTTTCATTTCTTTTAGACACGCTGTTAAATTGTTCCTCCCATCCTTCTTCAGGAAAAATAATAACGATCAAAAAAGACCTCTGTGATTGGAACTAATTTTAGCAGTGGCTCCTCCCTATTAAAGTTTTTCCTGAGACCAAATGGAAAGGATCTATTGGGAAGACCCAGTGATTTGTTAATGCATCCCGATCTGGAAAGCAAGGCCCTGTTTGCTCAAAGCTATTCTTTAGGAAAAGCAGCAGCAAAACCTGCCCGGGACAGGAATATTTGTCTAAAAACCCGAATCTTTTATACAAAAGCCACTCGGTCTACCAGATGCAGGCAGAAATCATTTCTTCTGTGAGTTTGTTTATTTTTTCCTTTTTTTTTAAAAAAAAATATACCTGCTGCTCTTCAGAGAACTAGGGATGGCTGCAAAAGCTATGATCAAAGGAGAGAGAAAAAAAAAATCACAGAGAGATGCTGATCTCGATGACCCCCGAGCAATGCAAAACCGCAGGAGCCCTAATGGATTTCTGCTAGTGTGAAGTTAGTATATGGCTCCCTGGACATTTATTGACATAAGTAGCATCGATTATAATAGTTACACTGAGACTGTAAACTGGGCTGTATGATGAATGCGCCTTGACAGCAGATACAGAGTGTTATTTAAGATCATTAAGACACACGGGGACTCTGTGCAAACTCCACTAATGCGCCATTTGCGTTACAGAAATAAAAGCCTATTTTTTTCCTTCCTCTGGGAAGCGCGTTGCATCACTTCTCGCCCAGACATGCAGACTTTTCACGTAGATATATGTACCCAATTGCCTCCAATGTTTGTCTGCTGTTTGCTGTTCTGGTACTATCTAAAATATTTGAGGTTCTTTTAAAAGTGTGATTACAGTGAGAAAGAATAACTCTAAAGCTAATGCTATGGGGAAACGCACTTATTTATTTGACATATTAAAGGACTGGCTGGTGTGGCACACTTCAGATTGGACAGGAAGGAGAGAAGTAACATGGGCTGAATTTTCAGCTTTTCAGAGATAACTCGTTTACCCATATGCAGAAATGTGGATTTTTTTTTCACCTCTCCTAAGGTTGTTCAGCCTCTTTATGTACAACATAAACGTTTAGGACCTCAGGAGGACCCCGCCAGGATAAATATCATAAGCGGGCACATTCTCCCCTGCTCAAAGACTCGCAGCCGAGGAGCTGGTGGAAGCGACAGTGATCTTAGCAAAGTGATAGTGATCTTAGCAAAGCGATAGTGACAGATTCTCCCCTGCCCAAAGACTCGCAGCCGTGTTGGCCGAGGAGGCAGAGGAGCTGGTGGAAGCGATGGTGATTTTAGCAAAGAGATAGTGATCTTAGCAAAGCGATAGTGATCTTAGCAGCGATCTTAGCAGAAAGAGGATGTGAGGAGGGCAGGGCCACAAAGTATGTGAGTGGTTGCACAACGCCGAGGGCTTTCAAACAGAGGGAAGTCAGAGGCAGCCCCAGATAAAAGCGCCTTTTGCCATCAGTGCCACTGCAGTTTATTGACACGGATAATATGGAACCTTGCTGTAAGCACTGGTACTGCTACTGTACCTCTTTCTATAACAGATTTCGCTTCCTTTTTTCATTTCCCTCCTTGTGCCTGTCCTGATACCCCCTTACTTCTTCTTTGCTGCTCCCAGTTATGCAGGCTGGTCGTCTGCCTCTCTTGGCAGCCTTGCTGTGGCTCTCACGTCCTTCAGCTCCCCGCTGACCCTGCTCTTGGCCAGGGCCTTCTCCTGCGCCCTCTTCCCCGTTGTGGTTTCTGGGTGAGCTCTCTGCTCTCCAGCTCTGTTCAATGCCCTGGGCTCTGTTTTCTCTCTTCTTTGCTTGACCAGAACTGCTCTGCCCAACGTGAGGAGTTGTATTTTCTCTCTGACTGGGATCCCTGGCAGGGATGCCATTCTTTTAGAAGCAAGCCATTATTTCTTATTTCTCCCCACATGAATGAAATAGCCACGCTATTTCCCATAATATCCCGTTTCCCCATGTTGCGGCCTGTCAGCTGCATATTTCACGCACACACCTCAGCACTAATATTCATTTCTGTAAAGAGCTTGTTACTACATAGTAACAAGCTGTTGCTGTTGCAGCAGATGCTCTCTTCTTATCTCAAGGATGTCTTCAGGAGGAGCCTAAAAGGCTCAAGGTGGCATCCAAATCATGGTTTTCTTCCCTAGCCCTACCAGAAATGGAACAGTTGTTAAAAGCAGTGGTTCTCAGCAGCATTAGTGTTTTTAGACTCAGGCCAGCGCACTAATCTTGCATTAACCTACGCCCCAGTCTTTCATCCAGCATTCCCGTGAATGATGTCCTGTCAGGAGCTGGAACTGCCCCGGAATCGAGTCCGGCACCTGGAGCAGCTAAGATAAGGGAAAGGACGTCACGCTCACGTCACAGCCGGCCACGCACACGTGTCCAGCAGGGATTGCTGAGCTGCAAAAGCATTTAGGGCTCACCTGTGAGCATAGCACATGCGCAGCCTAGCACTGGAAAACAGAGAGATCCTTGTACTAAGAGACTGAGTACACTGTAGTTGTGGGATCCATCACTCAGCGGGCTCACTTGGAGCCACCACCAGGCTCTTTCCAGAGAAGGGGGTGATGGGCAAATGGGTAAGTTAGAGCCTTCGCGATGTCAACACACTGGCCTCGTGTTTCAAAGAAAATGAAGGCAGCAAAACTGAATCGTGTGTGTTGGGAGCGTCCAGCCAAGGGGTGCCTTTTCCCAGGAGAACAAGCAAAGCCATGCCAACGTGTTCCTCACGCTGAGCAGGACTTTGAGGTGCTGTTGCACCTAGGGCTGCTGCTGTGGAAAATTTCTGTGTCCCTTGCTCTGAGTAGGACCTCAAGTTTCTTCATGTGCTGATGCAGTTTGCTACAAACGTGCATGTACCTGCCTTGCTATTAACTGCATGTGACGGGAAGCATTTTTGTTCCAACTCTAGTTAAGGCATTAGTCACTGCAATGTTACTTTTCTGCAGCGTGTGGACAGTGGAAATTTCCCATCATTTTTGTTAAAAGAAGTGGGTGTAAATTACTGGTTTCTCCAATATTGAATGTCCTTTTTATTTTCTCTCAAAGTTAATATTGCCACTGAAAATATCACTGCATACATCATCGTGCACTGACTTCACACTGCCAGCTCAGACTCCCCTGCTCTGCGTTTTTGCTCTTGGTCTTTCGCCTCTCCTTGTGTTCTTCTTCTTCTCTCTTGTTTTTCCACTGTTTTCAGATCACACTGTGTGGAAGAGAACATGCTCTCCTGCAGCACATGTGTGTATACCCCTTCCAACAGCAACCAAACTGACTACTGTCCTGGACTTACTTAGGTGGAGTGGCGGCGTCTTTGAGATTTTCAGTCTTCCAAGTGTTTTCTTCTGAGACTGTCTTGTCTTCCCATGTTTTGTTTCTCCTTTTCTTGTCTTTTTGCTTTATTTCTTCTTTCTTTTCCTAGCCTCTTTGTAGCAGGATCTGAAAGAGTAAAGAAAATGTTTCTATTTATTCTGTGCAGGTGACACCGCTTTGTGCAACACTGCTTTTTGTAACAATACTATGGTTTCCTGGGTGTTTGCCTCACTTTTTCTCACAAACCAGGAAGAAATTCAAGGGATTAGTATAACCTGGCCTCAGAAGAACAAAAACAAGGAAGAAATGTTGGGTAGATAGAATATCTTGAAAGAAAAGATGTAATCTTTCTTTTGCCTGTGTTTTAAGGTGGCTGTATCGCTTTAACTAAAACTTTGCAAAATCTTTAGAGTAATTGACGTTTTCAACATTGTTTGGTCCTCATGGTAAAGTTCATTTATGAAATGAGCCTTCTTGAACAAAAAGAGCTGTGCCCATGTGGCTTCTAGAGGCCGAGTGACTCAGAAATCAGCCACTTCATCTGGTGGGTCATGTGAATAGTGTAATGAAAGATAGATTTGTCTGACTACATGCAGTCACTTGCTCATGTGATGAGAAAGTCGGGCCGCTGAGTTAGATTCCATCCAGTTAAAGGAGTTGAGTAGTTTTTAGCTGGCTTTAATCCCAGTGGTTTTGCCAGGGATTTGCCCGATCACAGCCATCCAAAGGCTCATCTCTCCACGTAGTTCTCCCTGTCCGTGCAGACTGGCAACAGACTTCTTGAAGAATGGTTTCTTTTTGTAACATGACAGTTGTACGAAATGTAAGAACATTCTTCCAAACCTCCCTGGACCTGCTGTGTCAGCTCTGCTTTTCAGCCGTTGCTGCAGGGCGCCAATAATTCACGTCAGTCATGCAAATTCTCCGTTGTTACGCGGAGGTGACTCGCTAGTGAGCTTGTAAGAAGCCTCCTTCGTGCATGGGGAATCGTATGTGCAGAGCCTGAACCTGAACAGTAGCTCAAGGAACATCGTTTTGAATTGAGACTAGTGTAGCCTCGTGCCTACTCGGTGGTTATATTAACTGGAATTTAAATAAAGCAAAAAAGTTCATTAATCCACTAGGGAGGGATCTGCTCCTTGTTCCGACTGCTTCATGACTTGGAAAGAAAAATGACAATAAATGGCCAGTTAAAAAGAGCGCCCAAGAGCTGGTATAGAGGATGAGGGAATACCTGGTGCCTATAAATATATATACAAATATATATATTTGTACAGCTGTCCGAATTACTGTGGCTCTAGGTGCTGAGACATTCAGGCATAACTGTTTTGCACAGGTTTCAAATCGGCATCTTCATTACGAGCTGTAGCATCCACAGTCCTTGGACTTTGTGAAGACCGAGGTGGGTTGGATGCCCAAACTGGTAATGAACATGAATTGTCCTGCTGCCTTCCAGGCCTAGCTCATCATTTTGGGGGAAAAGCCCATGAATTTAGCTATTCTATGCAATCCCTGCCCAAGTAGAGATCCTGATTTCTTTGTGAATCTCTAGAGATGAGGTCTTATACATTTGCAATTGCTAATAGCGGTCCTTGCCATAATATTGTTTTTTTTTCAGGTTGAAAAAAGCTCTATTTCTAGCTCTAACTGTGATAAAATTAACCCACTTAAGCCAATGAAGTGTCATTTTCCCCGTTTTACATACTATCTCAGGCAGCAGCATAAGAGGTATGAAATGCTCTCCACCTCTAAGTGGTGTTTCACCATTGGCCTTGTTTTACTCTTGGCCCCCTTAAATCAGCAGCTGCTCAGTGGGTTTCCCGCAGTCTCATAATGCCCTGAAGCGAAACCCTCTTTCTTCATTTAGCTAAAAGAGCCTCTGAGCTTGCAAGGCCTCCCTTACAGGGACAGTTACCCTGTTGGCAAAATTTTACACACGGACTGTTCTTGTAATAAGGAAGAAGCAAAGGGAATTGTTACTATAAATTAATTCATACGGAATTAATTGCTAAGAAGTATAATTTTAATCCACTTATTCCCTTGTTCAGCTGTGTTTGGACAGATGCCCCGTTTTGTCTATTGAAAAATGAAAAGCTAATAAAAACCATTCAATTATGCACTAAGAGGAGGCAGCTAATAAAGCAGTTGCCAATGGTGGTGTAAAGCTGAGTAAAGTATTTGTGTCACAGAGGAGGCTACCTGCAATGGGTATATTTTTTTTCCAAAACCCAAAGAAACGAAGGGAAAAACCTGAGGAAGAAATGAGAATATTTTTGAATAAAGTTGGCGATAGCATTATGCAGAGACTGGACGTTCCATCCGATTGCTAGTCAGGATGTTTCTGCATAGATTCATGTCTAAATTGAGGCTTGGTGCTGTTGCTTTTTGCAGTCGTGGTAGCGCGAAGGCCGAGTTCCTGTTCCGCAGGAATCCACGCCGAGCTGATCCCCCGCTCCCGACGGACACTTCGTCAACGATGAGGCCGGGCAGGGCGGCCTCTCG